AGCAAAGACCAAAAATTTTATGAGCGTGGAATTATGCTACTACCAGAAAGATGGCAAAAGGTGTTGGACCAGAACGGTTAATATATAATTTAATAAAGTATTTGTTTATTATACGAAAACTGTCTTTCATTTCCACAAAAAAAAACGAAATGACTTTCCGAACAACCCTATAGATAAGGGTTAAGTGTGAATTTTCAGAATATACAACATAGTAAATGTCTAAACTTATTATTCAGTAACGCTTACAAGGATGGGGTTGCTTAAAATTTAATACATAAAAAAATGTTTTTATATTGTATAAGCCTAACGAAAATGATACGCATAGCTACATCGCGATAAAATAAAAATAACAAAGCATACGTTTTGAACTCGATCCAGACATATAAAAAATTAGATATACTTGTAAATTAATATCTTACGCATGTAGTACAGCCTTGTTATTTAGATAGATTATTTGAGAGTTGAGTAAACAATTTTTTGTTGCCAAAAGTACGTGCTACGTGTAAGTACATATTTTTTATTTATGTAACCCAGCCTACAACGACGTTGCTTAAATCGGTATCTTCAATTTAAGTTAATTAAAAATTATCAGTGTTTTGTTGGAGAGATAAGTGCACCTATTTGATTTACTGGTATTTATACTTGCTACTAATGAGTAATTGTAAAAGTCAATACTCTATTGATTTTAAAAGAAGACGGTTTCGTGTAAAGCCTTAAATTAATAATGAAAATAACAAAAACCATAACGTGTTTCTTAATAATTTTTGTGATGTGCCAGTTTGAATGGAGTAATGGCGCCAATATATTGGGAATATTTGCCTTGCCATTCGACAGTCATCAAGCTTTCTTCAGGTTAATATGGAAAGAATTGGCCTTAAGAGGCCACAATGTGACTGTGATTGCCACCAGACCCTTACACGATAGTAGTATTAAGAATCTTAAAGAAATCGATATAAGCTTTAGTTTTAAAGTTTATGAGGAAATACATTTCGTCGAGGAGGTGTGTATTATAATATACAAGTACAGAAAAAGGCAGTATAATTGTGTGTTTACCAGTCCTATAGTTAGCTGTTAATAAAACAAAAGAAAATTTTACTTTCTCATTGGTTTGTGTTAAGTGGCGTGCACCATTGGATATGTAAGTGTTATGCATCAGGCGCTTAGGCTATGCTTTGGTATGAGGTATCTATGTACCATCGACGAATTCCAAGTTGAACGGGTTCAACTTGTGAATAAAAACACTTATTTACCAAATTATTTTAAAACAAATATCTGCCTTGGTCCTTGGTCTTGAGTGTTAAATCTTGGTTTTGTTCATTTAATCTGATACTTACTTTTTTTTAATTATTCTAAGTACAAATTTCACAGAAGGCACAAGGTAGTCGAAAGAAGTAAAAATATCGAAAAAATTAGTATGTCTTTATATTTCAATTATGTACTATCCACATATAGGAACAAAGAACACTTACTACGAGAACATTCTTGTAAATCATTTTTTTTCCAAACAGTGTTAAATTTTCTATTTTTTATATTTAGTGTTAAAAAGTAAAATAGTAAAGCAAACTGAAATTTTAAATAGTTTAACTTATGAACCCACCGGAAGTAATAATTATTCGTTTAGTCTTGAGTATTTGGTCTTGTTTTTGGTCTGGGTCTTGTTTGTTCGATCTTGGTTTTCATCTCGGTATTACTAGTATAAAGACAGTATTGTTTTTTGTCTTGACCAAGATCAAGACTTCAAGTCCAAGTCCAATTTTGCTCATAGCTAAAGATCATCAATTCCAATTTTATATATTTTTTTTGTTAATTAAACTTTTTGTTTAGGTTCAAGAAGTAAGTAACATATTTAAGTATTGGTCTGTTCTTGCAAATTCATTGAAGAAATTTGGCGTTAAACAACTATCAGATCCTGGCATACAGGCTTTAATAAAAGACAATAACACCCATTTTGATGTAGTTCTGGCTGAATTTGCCCTGCCGGCATTTTTCTACATGAGCGAACTATTCGATTGTCCTTTAATACTAATGAGTTCTATGCCTATCAATTGTATTACGTCGGTTGGAATCGGTAATCCTTTACATCCACTTATTTTGCCAGACGCTAATTTACCGTTTGGTAAAACACTAAGCTATAAGGAGAGATTACTTTCTGTGATTAATTACATTTGGTCAATCACTTTTGTACATTACGCAATATATTCGGCGAGTGATGAAGTAATTAAGGAATGTTTAGGAGTCGAAACTAATCTGGCAGAAATAGAGAAGAAGAGAGCCAGCTTAGTTATTGCTAATGATGTCCCCGAATTGAGTAATGTACATCTAAAAATGCCAAATGTTATTGAAATTCATGGTATTAATTTGAAACCACCTGCACCATTACCAAAGGTAAGCCAGAATCCAAATTAGTGGTAGATATAAAATGAATGAAACTATTTATTTCTTTAAGGATTTAAAAGAGTTTTTGGATAATGGTACTGAAGGAGTTATATATTTTAGTCTAGGGACTTTAGTACTATCCGATGTAATCAAAGACAGACTTCAAATTGCTGAAGAACTGTTTTGTGAACTTCCTTACAAGGTGGTGTGGAAACTCGACGTTGACAGTGTAATTGTTGATTCAAAAAATATCTTCGCTAGACATTATTTTGAATCACAACAAGATATTTTAAGTGAGCTGACGTTTTATGAAGTTTTATTTACTGATGTGACTTTCTAACAGTTCAATTTTAATCGCAGGGCATCCGAACGTGAAAGTGTTTATAACACAAGGGGGATTGCATTCTCTGGAAGAAGCAATCGCGTATCACGTACCTATTATAGGTGCGCCTTTTATAGGCGACCAGAAAGGGAATATTAGAAAAATGGTAGATTCTGGAATGGGAATAGAAATTGATCTCCATACAGCAACGAAGGAGGATATAAAATCCGCGATTCTCGAAGTTATGAATAATCCCAAGTAAAGATACTTATTATATATATATGTACCTACTGTTGAAAGTTAACGTAGTTAACTATCAAGTGCTTAAATGGATTAATAATGGTTATTTTGTAAATATCATCAGTCCAAAGACTTTTGGACACGCACCTGTATTTCTTTCGAATGCCTTTGCTATACTTCGTTTACTTTCTGTAGTGATGTGCCCTTCAGTTTGACCAGCGCAAAGTAGAAAAGAACAGCACTAGGTCAGAAAAGGAAGGAGACAACTCTGGGCCAAACTCTTAACCGGTGAGGAGCGTATAATCCGTACAGTACTGCACGGAAAAATTGATCATTTTATCCACTACAATTGCATTGCTCAAATTTGCTGTTATTGGTACCATTTACTACTGAATTTGAAGACATATTAAAGGCTTTAACGCTTGTTTTTGACTCACACTATTCATGATTGAATAAAATTTTTGGCAGCTACTCTATGAAAAAGTATGTTTAATGAACAAAAGAACAAGAGTCGAGAGTATAATGAGCTTTTTTCTTCCTACCTACGATTTCGCCAACGCGCATCCAAGTCATTGGAAGGGCTACAACGCTAGAGAAAGTAAATGAAGTATAACAGTCGACCTATACTCCTGTTAACTCTTACTTCTTCTTCTAGTATGTCTTTAACTGGCTCTTTATGACTAAAAAGGTATCGTTCCAACCTATCTCGTCAATTTCATATTGTTTTCCATGACGCTCTCTCTTTTATGCTTTCTAATACCTCCTAATTTCTAACCATAGTATTTTTAACATCCTTCTTAGGTTTTTTTTTAGGTTTTCCATACAGAACTTGAATAGAAATTAAGATAGGTTTTAAAAACTTTAATCTTTTTCGAGATATTTTCGAACCACTTCTGGAAGCAGCTATTCAATTCTTGATTTTTGGAAAGATAAAGAAATCGTTGGGACTTAGGTCTTGTGTTGTGAGATGTGCGCAAACTTGCATTATATTGGTGGAGGATTATTCATCGCTCGGGGTTGGTTTTTAGAAGCTCAGTATTGACTCCCAGCAAAAAAACGGTTCTACACCAACTGACAATTGTTGTCACAGGACCTGCTTTTGAGACAAATGTAGCTATCATCTTTTTGGACACACTTGGGGAACGGATGACTTTTGCTAGTTTTTCTTCACCTTGGAACACCCAAACAGAGACTGGCGTTTATTTTCAGGTTCATATGAGTAAATCAACGATTCATTTCTGGGTTGTAGCGGTCTGACCTGGCCTTCTTTTTGTTCTTTTGTCAATAGATGTGATATCCAACGGGACACTATTTTTTACTGTCAATTCTTCATGCGAAATTTTTGGAATTGAGGTTTTTGAAATACTCACTGATGCTTCAGTCTCGTGATATGTTACATGTCGATCTTCCTTGATGAACTTATGTAGATCGTTTACGTTTTTCTGAGAGTCTGTCGTTTTTGGTGCACCTATAAGTTTCCACGTCTTTGAATTCTTCATATCAACAAGAAACTGTCGACTGATGTGGTGCTTCATTGACGAAAACAGTGACCAACTAGTCGAGGCATTTTCTTTTACATAATAGTGTTCAAAAGTTGTAAAAAATTATTTATAAACCCTGCGCTATCCTTTGTTTTATATCTCTAACATTTTCTCCATTCTGAGTTATCTGACTCCTTAAATATCGAAAATAGAAGTGCAATTATTTCTATTGCGAATGATTTTTGAAACTTATTTTTAATACTCCATAATTCTAATCTTTGGCCGATATCAATCACAAACATTATTTCCTTCTCTAGCGTTTTTTCCATCCTGCTGAGTTATCTGACTCCTTATACACATCGAAAATCAGGGACTATTTTACTTGTCTCCTATTTTTATACATATAATACCTACGTAGTTCTAATCCTANACATTATTGTTAATAATATCGATTATCATTTATTATCTGTATAACGATGTTTATTGTTATATATTATATTATTATGCACTTCATTGATATGTAATGTTAAATTATCTATTGATAACCGCAATTATTTCTATTGCGAATGATTTTTGAAACTTATTTTTAATACTAATTAATTTTTTCAGGGTTTTTTTACATTAGCTTTTTTAATTTTTAAGATACCTAGAAAGAGTCAAAGAAGTATCAAAGTACATGTTCGACAGGCCCATGAAACCCATGGATGAAATCGTTTGGTGGATTGACTATGTTATCAGACATAAAGGAGCTTATCACCTTAGAAGTCCACTTCAAAGGCTCAGCTGGAACGAATTATTCCTTTTGGATGCACTTTTCACTATTATCTCCGTTTGTGCAGTTCTGTTCTATGTATCATACAAATTGTTGAAAGTGATTTCATTGAAATTAATTTATTTAACAAAATTTAGAAAAAGTAAAACCGAATAACGGGAAAAATTTGTGATTAATAATTTATTTACTGAATTATTTATTGTTTAAAGAATGCAAATGTTCATGCATAGGCACGTTATAAATGTGACAAAATTATCTACTTATGAATTAGACAGTTGAAATAAAAAAATCGCAGATAAGCTTAATTAAATATTTGACTTAAGTTTAAGTAAATATTTAATACGAAAAAAAGTTTCCGTTTTTTATTATATTGTTCTTGTATTCGTAGAAAGATAATGTTGAAATAAAAAAAATGGTTACTAATTATAGTATTGTGCATTTTTGTTTTTAATTTATGGGTTAAATACTATTTCCTACAATATTTTTTTTTTAATGAATATATTTTGGTTAAAATAAGTTGAAATAAACTAGAGACCGGTGTTTAGTTACTAGCTGTATATGGGATACATCTAATAAGAAATAGTTACACACAACAATTGAGAAAGATAGTAAGATTGTTCTTGATCTGTCGGGAGTCGGGATGGTCTCATTAAAACTGAACAGACGACTTCAATTGAGGAGGAATAACTCTTTAAGAATATTAAGACTTGTATTATGTTCCAAAATTTCTTTCTCTCGTAATATTTCTTAAAAACTTGAATATCCCAGATTCTTAACTATTTTTAACTAATCCGATAATCACAAAACAAGTCTTTTGGCTGATTTTTGAACATTTAAATTGTTTTGTTAGAACACCTAAATGTGAATGCGTTTATAACACACTAGGAGGTTTAAGTTCTTTAGAGGAAGTTGTAGTCTTCCATGCTCCAGTTATATGTGATCAATTACGTAATGTTGAGGCTGGTATAGGAATCCAAATCAATTTTTATGAATTAATAAAATATTTATAAGTCACTTTAATGCATCCCTGACAAAAAAAGGCGTAAAAAGAGAGCGCGCCATCCCCTTTTAACTTGTACTATATCTTCTTTGAGTTGCCACCTAAAGGTACAATTAATTTAAATTTGACGTAGTCGAATTGCCGATAATTTTATTGGGTATGTTTCTAAACCGTTATCATTACACAGGTTTTTTAAAAACTAAACTTAAAAGTTGTCAAAAACTAATAGTGGCTTTCTTTTTTTATTATAGTTTCAAAATAAACAACACATATTCGTTTTACAAATAATTATTAAAATGAAAGACATCAAACAACTAATTAATAATGGGTTAACAAATTGATTGCAACTATGTGATAATTAAAGATAGAAGGGGTAATAACAAGTTTTTGACCAATAGGTAGTTCGATGATTTTACCCTTACCCTCGTTTTTATCTGTTGTGAAGTGAAGTTTCCCGTAATCAAGTTGCATAAAATGCATTTTAAATTGGTAATATTATAATATAATCATTGTCTATCTATTATTATTATCTTTATAATCATTGTTGACCATTAGCACTCAAGATTATCTGTCGCCGCTGCCGCCTAGACGCAATTTGGCAGTCATTAGCAGGCATGTCGATCTACCGAAAACTTTAACCCTCAGTAAAAGCACGTAGACGGGAGGCAACACGTCATTTTCGGAAAAAACTGTGTAGAAACCCCCTATTGCTGGCTTCCTCTAAAACAGGACAGGCTGATCCTGTTGTACTGTCATTACTGAATGATATTCAGGATGTTACTGTACAAACTATCTATTTATTTTAAGACGTTCGTATCAATTTGTCTTTACTGTAGTTGCACTTTGCAGTCATCGATTAAAGGAAATTAAAAAATATGTGTGTTCGACATTGGATTATGGATTATTTATTTATATAATCAGACACAAATGTTTATCATTTAAAAAGTCCATATCACAGTGTAAAGTTTGAATGAATATTGTTTATTTAATATATCTATACAGTTCTGGTTGAGAGGGTAATTAACTGATTCCCAAAAATGTTTAAAGTGCGAATTCCAAATAGTGACTAATTTAAGAATTTCAGTGATATCGAGAAGCTTCAAAAAGCCTCATCGTCATAAGGTCGTCAGTCGTATTTCCCTAAAACTAGAGCAACCCATATCTTTAACTATTTGCGAACAGTAATCTAATCCAGGTCTACCTCTCCCCCTCCTAATCTCCGTTTCTGCCTCTAATATGTCTCTGACTAGACCTTCATGCCTGAGAAGGTGTCTTACTAACCTATCTCGCCTATTTCATATTGACTTGCAGAGAATTCTTTGTTCTCTTACTCTTTCTAATACCTCTTCATTTCTAACCTTCTCTATCCACGGTATCTTCATCATTCGCCTGTAACACCACATTTCGAAGGCTTCTAACTTTTTCTTTTCCGCCGCGCCACTGTCTATGTTTCGCACCCGTACAGCGCCGTGCACCAAACATACACTTTTAACAACCTTTTTCGAATTTCTAAATTAACCATTCGCGAGCATAGAAGTGACTTCTTTTTATTGAAGGCGACTCGACCCTGCTCTATACTCTACTTTATATCCCTACTACTCCTTCTGACTTCCGAGATACCTAAAATTGGCCACCTTCTAATTTTTCGTCTCCTGTCTTTATATTCGCTCTTTCCCTACTTTTCCTTATAATTCATACTGAAATTGGAAAGAAATGCGTCAGTAATCAGTTTGTAAACCTTATACGTTTTGTAGTTTTTTATTGTTATTGATATTCGTTATCCGAACTGCGTCTATTTTATTTATTTTTAAATCAATAACTACTTGTTTATTTTAAATTTGTTCAAAAAAACATTACACGACAAATGAAAATATACTCAATTCAGTATTCCTTCTGGCTTTAATGGCGAGTTCTGAACGACTTCTAAAGTTCACTGCCACATTATTGTTAATAATATCGATTATCATTTATTATCTGTATAACGATGTTTATTGTTATATATTATATTATTATGCACTTCATTGATATGTAATGTTAAATTATCTATTGATAACCATTAAAAATGTTGCGATGCAATTTTTGGTACAAGTATAAATAAAGTAAAATAAAAAATTATTATTATTATTATCACTAGAGTTATCCTTTCCAAATCAGTAACAATTGTACTACATACGTGGTATTTATGGTTGACTTAGGCAATCTTCGACAAAATCTAAAGACAATACATGACATGTACAGTAAAGTACAAAATTGGTGACGTTACAATAACGATTAAACTTTTTAACACAACATGCAGTTCTATTTTGTAATACGGCCAGTTTTCACAAAATTCATTGTTTGAATGTTACAACAAAATATTAAAATATTGTCTTACGTTCTTTGCACTGCTATTTTCCTTTGTTTTCCATAAGATGAAGGTTTAATATAAGATAGCAACATGTTGTTGTGAGGATGATGACGTTATCTGGTGTTGAGTATTTTTTTTTTATAACAAAGTACCTTTGATTTTAAGATTTGTTTACATTTAACATGTGTTACCTTATTATTTAAATGTATAAATTCAAAGGTTATCAGTGTCATATCAAACAGATAACGAAAGAATTAAATATTAATTCTAACATTTTTGTAAAATATCTATATAACCAGTGGAGCAATCATGAAAATTAGAAGGTTCTGTTGCCTGCCAATTTTTTTGGTGTTTACCCAGTTGAATTTTATAGAATGTGCCAACATATTAGGGATATTTCCTACACCTGTGAACAGTCACCAGAGTTATTTTCGATTAATATGGAAAGAACTGGCCCTCAGAGGCCACAACGTGACCGTCCTAGCCACAAAACCCCTCAACGATCCCAACATCAAAAATTTGAGAGAAATCGATTTGGGTTTTAGTTTCAAAATGCTTGATGATCTTAATTTGGTTAGAGAGGTAAGTTGAGACTTAATAAATTAAATATTTAATATTCTAATGTAGAGATCGTAATTTTTACAGNATTTGATAGTAGACCTTTGGAGGATGACTAGATGCATTAATTAAATGGTTAAATTAGTTTATAGAGGTAATGGTTCAGGAAGAATCCTTTACGATTTCCAATTCAGTTTCATTTTTATTATGAAGTGTTTATTTTATGGGTTTAAAGGTAAGTTGAGACTTAATAAATTAAATATTTAATATTCTAATGTAGAGAACGTAATTTTTACAGGCCCAAAAAGGTATGTTTTTTTTCAATTTATGGCATGTAGTTGTCAGAGGATTGAAACACATGACCGAAAAGCAACTTCAGCATCCAGAAGTACAAGAACTGATAAGGGACAACAATACACATTTTGACGTGGTATTGACTGAATTCGTATTACCAGCATATTCTTATATGAGTGAATTATTTGATTGTCCAATGGTATTAATGACATCTCTGGCGGCTATTCCTCTTACCTCGTCTGCAGTTGGGAACCCTGTGCATCCCCTTGTTACGCCAGATGCTAATTTGCCTTTAAGAAAAACACTGAATTTTAGAGAGAGGCTGATTGCTGTAATTCACAGAATATGGGCTACCTGCTACGCTCATTCTTTTGGGTATGAACTGCAAGGTGACGTAGTAAAAAAGATTTTTGGGGTTGAAATTGATTTGGCCGAAGTGGAAAGGAGAAGGACCAGTCTGGTTATAGCTAACGATGTCCCAATAATCAGTAATATTCATGCACGCATGCCGAACGTTATCGAAGTGCATGGAATTCACTTGACTCCACCTGCACCATTATCACAGGTATAATTAACATTAAATACACTATTCCAATAAGAAAGTTTCGTTAAAATCACTTTTTAAAATAACAATTTGTGCTGATAGTAGTAGTTCAAATAGATTCTTCCATGCATCTCCATATAAGACCTGGCGTTGTATTAATTTTACACTTGAAAACGGTTTATTTTCGGGGTAGGTTAAGCGGCAAGAACAAATAAATTAAATAGTAAGCCTTTGTACAACTTCATGGGTTTATGTAAATATAAATAAACCGATTTCTTACAAATTCTAACAAAATTAAGTATACTAACGAGATCCGTACCGTCATACGACACCAATGCGATGCTTTTTTTAATTGGCTCCAGTTCTGGTTTAAAATCATCTTTTGAAATCACGATGGGGTTTATTTTAGGGATATTTCGTACTTTCGGGGAAACACGATATTCGCGTTTAGGTCGCACTGTTTATTTACAATTTTACTATTTTTACTGATTTTGAGATGCACAACGTTTAGATGTAACCATTATGGTAGACAGATTTGAAAGATTATTTTCAAGTATTCGCTGATAAGATGTATATAGTGATTATTTTGCTTGTTAATCTGAAGTAGCACCTGTATTTGTTTAATAAAATCATAAAACGCGTTAAATAAATGAAAATTTATTTGAAAATGGGGTCCGCAAAGTTCTGTTTCTTGTGAGAAATTGAATAAAAGGTCAGCAAAAGGTTGTAATACCTACATTATCTAATAAGTATCTTGAACTGTGCTTCCATTACTTATTTTCGATGAAAAGTAATTGTTTTGAATTAAAGAAACTATTAGAATTTTACATGGAAGGAATAGTTACTTATCAAAGAATTGAATTTTGGAATGAAAATTTGTTAACAATATATTATAAAAAGCTTATCTAAGGATACTATATTAAAATAAAAATTGTTTCTTTAAGGATTTAAAAGAATTTTTGGACAATGGCACTGAAGGAGTTATATACTTTAGTTTGGGCACGCTGGTGGTTTCCGATGAGGTCGAAGATAAACTTCAGCTTATGTCGGAAATCTTTTCCGAATTGCCTTACAAAGTATTGTGGAAACTGAATGTCAAGAATATATCAATTAATACAAAGAACGTTTTAGCCAAATCCTATTTTAAATCACAACAAGATATTTTAAGTAAGTAATTATACAATTGGAAATTGTTGTCGACCCGATTTTTTAACGTTTGCGTTATTTCATTAGGACATCCAAATGTGAAACTGTTCATAACCCAAGGAGGATTACACTCTTTAGAAGAAGCGATAGCATATCATGTTCCAATTATTGGAATACCATTTGTAGGTGACCAGAAAGGTAATGTCCGAAAAATGGTACAGTCAGGAATGGGAATTGAACTGAATCTCAAATCGGCTACGAAAGAAGACATAAGATCTGCAATACTCGAAGTTATGAATAATCCCAGGTACTTATTCATGAATTTAAACTTTACGGAAATGAGAAATTTACTTATTTAGAAAATTTATAGAAGCGAACTATTTCAGTTTTTTTCACTATAACTGTAATCATGTAAATTATGCATAACTTTAATTATATACAAATTTTTTATTAAAGACAATTTTATTTTACACAGTTATATGGAAAGAGTTAAAGAAGTTTCAAAGTACGCATTTGACCAACCGATGAAGCCCATGGATGAAATTGTGTGGTGGATCGAATATGTAATTAGGCACAAGGGGGCCTATCATTTGAAAAGTCCGTATCACAGTTTGAGTTGGAACGAATATTATTTAGTTGACGTCGTTCTTACATTTATCATTCTTGGAATCACAATCTTATATGGTGCTTATAAACTATACAAGTTTGTCTTAAATAAAACGTTTAAATCAAAAGAACGTGTAAGAGAGAAAACAGAATAGAAAATAGTAATAAATTGTATCTTTATTTATAAATTATTTAATTAGGCTTTTTGGAGATTTTTAATTAATAAAATCTTACAATCAACTTGTACGTCTATTTATCATAATTTAACTTTGGAGCACGGCGTTGTACGGGTGTGAAACACGGACGGTGGGCGCGGCGGAAAAGAAAAGATTAGAAGTGTTCGAAATGTGGTGTTATAGGCGGATGATGAGGATATCGTGGGTATAAAAGGTTAGAAATGAAGAGGTATTGGAAAGAATAGAAGAACAGAGGACTCTATGGAAGTCAATCAAAAATAGGCGAGATAGGTTGGTAGGACACCTTCTCAGGCATGAAGGGCTAGTCAGAGATATATTAGAGGCAGAAACAGGAGTTAGGAGGGGTAGAGGTAGACCTAGATTAGATTACTCTTCGCAAATAGTTAAGGATGTGGGCTGTTCTAGTTTTAGGGAAATGCGAAGTTTAGCTCAGGATAGGAAAGAGTGGAGGTACGTGTCCAACCAGTCTTAGGACTGATGACCTTATGATGATGATGAACTATCCAATGTGATGGCAACTAAATAGAAGTACCACTCCCACCTTGTGGAAATATCTTGCTTTTATTATCTAGCAATTAATGTTTACGTAATAATCTCTTGAATACCCCGCAAAGGATTTAAATCACATTTATTCAACTACGTATATATTATTTATATGAACCATCTAGAAAGGAATTTTATCAAAAGATGATGACGCCTTTTGATGATTGCATGCACAAACTAAAATGTTCCTATGTTCGAATACGAATTCCTATAGGCACTTAATTATGAAAGGGATGCGGATGCTATCTAACACCTATCACTTTATGATAAGATATAAATCCCGACGTTATCCACAAAACAGGTGAAGACAGTGAAGACGCAAGTATCCTCTAGGTAGCCACTGGTGTATTATTGATTTTGTTTTTAATTTAGGAATAATGTAATAATAATAATAATAAGAAATATAGAAAGACTTGTGCTGACGCAATTTGAACGTTTTGCTATAATTGTGAAACAATTATCAACTATCAATCACTAAACATTGTTTGTTTTTATTTAAAATTCTTATCACGTAATCGTATTGTTACTTAATGTAACTGGAACACCTTGAAATATTTTTTTAAGGATGTTTTTCAAATATTACGCCTATCACTGTGCTCAAATCGAAATTGGAATTCGTATTTGAAAAATATTGTTAAAGGTGTATGACTGGAAAATGGTGCTGTACGGGTGCGAAACACGGGTGATCAGAGCGTCGGTAAAAGAAAGGTTAGAAGCGTTCGAAATGTGGTATCACAAACTAATGATGAGGATATTGTAGATAGAGAAGGCTAGAAGTGAGGAGGTGTTAGAAAGAATAGGAGAACAGAGGTCACCATGGAAGTCAATAAGAAATTCTCAGACATGAGGGACTGCTCAGAGACATATTAGAAGCAGAAACAGGAGTTATAAGGAGTAGAGGTATACCTAGATTAGATTACTGTTTGCAAATAGTTAAGGATGTTGTTCTAGTTTTAGGGAAATGCAAAGATTAGTTCAGTATAGAAAAGAGTGGAGGTGCGTATCCAACCAGTCTTAGGACTGAAAACCCTTACGATGATGATGAATGTGAAGCGTCGTTTTTAATGCATGCAGCGTCGCTAAGTGAAGTATTTACTTTAGATTCATTTTTAAGACAACTTTTCATTTTCTTCGATGTTTTTTCATCCTGATAATACTAATATCAGGATTTTCTTGGATATAAATTGATTGATACATGTACGCATATGTTTGTATAAGTCAAATGTTTTTGTTTTTCTCCAAGACGATTGCCTAAAATACCGTCAAAAAAATAGCTCTTGACTATCAAACAATAGCAGCAATATCGTAATCAAATTGTAACCGAATTGTTTATCCTTATTTTGTTTTTAGCAGTACCTTTACACTTTTTTCAATTAAAAAAAAACGCGGTTTTCGATTCGCCGATCAATTCTCCTATTGTTCCAAGATTTGAGTTCAGTATTAACTTAGTCGACGTTTTTCCGATTGTTTGGTTTTCTGTCTTGTTTGATTTGTGGTTGTGTCTTCCGGTTCTTCGAATTGAAATTTAATTAACTGAGTAGGAGAATATCGAATAAATTCGAGGTCCATTTCACGTTTTGTCGATTTTAGTGGAAGGGGTGTGAAGTGGCGGTTTATTTGGTCGAGGGGGAGTGTATTTTCAGAATAAATTCTCTTTTGAACGTTAACACTTCGCGACAAGGGATATTTATATCCTGAAAGAGGTGTTTCTGGGGCGTCGGGTTTTTGATAACGTTTTACTGCGCCGGCTGTTCAGGATATTGTGACTAATGGATTTTCATGAACAGCTTATGCTCTCAACTTTTCGTAACTGAACTGAAACAGCTGTTACATATCAGAGGCACAGGCTCCTACCTACCGCTGGTTCGTTTCTCTTCCTTTCTCTGTCTTTCATAATCACACAATGCGAGAACATTAACAATCGTTTGTTTTACACCAGGTTGCCCACTGGTGAATTTGGGCCTACCTGCTGTCCCACTAATCATCCCGCTGCCTACTGATTTTACCCCTTTCATAAGCGCTTCGTAAATGACCTATCCCGTCTTCCCTTTGTTTTTTGTCCCTTTATTACTTTATCCTTTTGTGTCGAAATAAGCTAACACTCGCGGTTTCAATTTAATCGTTTATTGATTGTTCAATAAAAGATTTAATCGTACTTTTATCCTTTTAAATCCTCACTAAATAAAACTGTCGTATCTTCTTCATATCAGATTTTAAGCAATTTAAATGCAATGGTAATTTGTGATTTTTGGTGCGTTATTACTTGTCGGAGAACTTGCACTACAATACAAGAAAGACTATATAGAGTGTCTCTGGAATAAGTAGCAAGCTTACGGGACTTGTAAAACAAGAAAATGTAAATGTNAAAAATGTAAATTTATTAGTAACGAAGTAAACAAGAGCTTGATTTTCGTCTTTTTAAGCTAAGGTCTTTTTTATTTGCGCGCTACGTACCTATTAACATAATGATTTCCTGGTCCCTTTTTCCGCTTGCGTTAAAGCCGGCTTTATTTCTTATGTGGTCCATTTCTATCGCTTCTGCGCCTCTGATCAGAATAACAAAGGGTAAAACTTAGTTCCGGTACGTTCTTTTGGTTGAAATAGCTCTCTCTTCGAGACGACACAAATCTAGTCAAAGGAGGCAAACGCAAAGAGAATAAATCGATAGATATCCATAGAAAACTTGTCCATGGTTTTGTTGCAAAAGTTCCGATCGACGACCGAATTTGCATTTTCAAGTAGCATGGCAACCCTCGACGGTCTCACGGGGTGAGCTCGATACGTGTCATGCACCCGTCTCCAAAGATTTTCCGCGGAAGGCTTACAACAGGTTTGCATGAGATGCACCGTAATTATGCTTTACTGTACGGTTATTATAAACAATGTATCTATGCATTAATTAGGCTATTTAATATGTTTAAAATTAAGGGTATCACGAGGAAGGAACAATTACGTTGAAGTGTTTTTATGGTCTAAAATACTTCGTTTACTTTCTGTAGCGATGTGACCTTCAGTTTGACAGGCGCAAAGTAGAATAGAACAGCACTAGGCCAGAAAAGGAAGGGGACAACTCTAGGTCAAACTCTTAACCGGTGAGGAGCGTATAATCCGTACAGTACTGCACGGAAAAATTGACCATTCTATCCACTACAATTGCATTGCTCAAATGTGCTGTTATTGNCATCAGATTTTAAGCAATTTAAATGCAATGGTAATTTGTGATTTTTGGTGCGTTATTACTTGTCGGAGAACTTGCACTACAATACAAGAAAGACTATATAGAGTGTCTCTGGAATAAGTAGCAAGCTTACGGGTCTTGTAAAACAAGAAAATGTAAATGTCTGACGATCCGAAAGTCCACCGTTTTCGCGAAAAGCGTATTAGAAAGCACAAACAAGGGTCAGTCCGACCCTGGTAGGATCACGCATTGAAATACGAAATTCCAACGCCGCATTCGATCAGAAGCTAACTAGCAACATTCGTGTTGTATTTCATTTGTGTTATCGACTTATTCATTGTCATTTGTTACATTATATTAAGTGTAATTGAAGATGTTTATGCTACAGCCTAGAGTAATTTTTTTTTTATTCGCAGCGTGTGCATGATCGCTGTTCGCTGCAAATGAAATACGCTAAACGCTGGACGTTATTGCTAGACTTGTAGTGTACGTTTTTTGATGGTTGCATGTAATAAAATATCCTTATGTTAGGTTGTTTGCTCTCCACTAGCGTATAGAATCTTTAAACCTTTAAAATATCTTAACTAATGCAGCTTTATAAATCATTGATGATTGCAATTAAAATGTTCGAAAAGATATATCGAAATTATTATTTTACTTCGAATTTTAGGTAAAAGAAAAATTATAATTGCTTCATAAACCTTACGATTTGATAGTACTTTTCGAATAGTTTGTTGTTTTACGGTTATGATTCGTATGTAGGTAGGTACATGTGGATGTTGCATATTCATCTCGTTGACATTCCGTTAAACCGATTGTTTGTTAAATGGGAAACTGTTCCCATTCCAGCTGGAAGGAATCGATACGAATCTAATCCTTGTCATGCCTGCAATTATACTGCGTTAGGGTTCATGTAACATTTGCGTTAGCATGGCATGTCATTCATGCTATTGTTGTGGTCACGACATTTGTGAAATTCTGATAGGAAAACTCAATACTATTCAAAATACGTTAATCTTTAATAGGTAAGCAGATTGGCTGACGTTAGAAACACAGATTAATCGTTAACAATTTAGTCAAGTTAATAGATATTCCTTGCTTTTGTCAGCTAAGAGTTAATTGCTATCAATTATTTTAATAAATAATAAAAGAAAAATTCTCTGATATTTTACTCTGAAATGGTAGCTACATAAAAATATTTAATATACATATTTATAGTGTAAACTTTGGCGACTCTTTTCATTCCTCTGACAGAATGAGTACCGAATGTACTGAATTATGTCAGGG